GGGGGGGTGGCCCCTCTAGATCCCATCTAGATGGGGGGCGGCAGCCAAGGGGGGTGGCTTGCCCCCCAAGCCAAGTGGGGCGCCCCCCACCCCTAGGGTTTCCAACCCTAGGCGCAGGGGGAGGCCCAAGGTGGGTGCACCAGCCCATCAGGGGCTGGTTCCCCTCCCACTTCAGCCCATGGGGCCCTCCGGGATAGGTGGCCCCACCCGGTGGACCCCCGGGACCCTTCCGGTGGTCCCGGTACAATACCGGTGACCCCCGAAACTTTCCCGGTGGCCGAAACTGGACTTCCTATATACAATTCTTCACCTCTGGACCATTCTGGAACTCCTCTGATGTCCGGGATCTCATCCGGGACTCCGAACAACTTTCGGGTTACCGCATACTAATATCTCAACAACCCTAGCCTCACTGAACCTTAAGTGTGTAGACCCTACGGGTTCGGGAGACACGCAGACATGACCGAGACGACTCTCCGGTCAATAACCAACAGCGGGATATGGATACCCATGTTGGCTCCCACATGCTCCTCGATGATCTCATCGGATGAACCACGATGTCGAGGATTCAATCAATCCCGTATACAATTCCCTTTGTCAATCGGTACGTTACTCGCCCGAGACTCGATCGTCGGTATCCCAATACCTCGTTCAATCTCGTTACCGGCAAGTCACTTTACTCGTACCGTAATGCATGATCCCGTGATCAACCACTTGGTCACATTGAGCTCATTATGATGATGCATTACCGAGTGGGCCCAGAGATACCTCTCCGTCATACGGAGTGACAAATCCCAGTCTCGATTCGTGCCAACCCAACAGACACTTTCAGAGATACCCGTAGTGCACCTTTATAGTCACCCAATTACGTTGTGACGTTTGGCACACCCAAAGCACTCCTACGGTATCCGGGAGTTGCACAATCTCATGGTCTAAGGAAATGATACTTGACATTCGGAAAAGCTCTAGCAAAGAACTACACGATCTTGTGCTATGCTTAGGATTGGGTCTTGTCCATCACATCATTCTCCTAATGATGTGATCCCGTTATCAATGACATCTAATGTCCATAGTCAAGAAACCATGGCTATCTTTTGATCAACGAGCTAGTCAACTAGAGGCTCACTAGGGACGTGTTGTGGTCTATGTATTCACACATGTATTATGATTTCCGGATAACACAATTATAGCATGAACAATAGACAATTATCATGAACAAGGAAACATAATAATAACCTTTTATTATTGCCTCTAGGGCATATTTCCAACAGGAGCTGCATCCGGCGATCTGCGGTGGCCTCGGCGATCTGTGACATGGACCGGCCCCCGTGAGCTGCGACGTCGAGCAGGCCCGGCGAGGTGCGACGGGGCGGTCGAGCAGGCCCGGCGAGCTGCGACGGTGCGGCCAAGGGCGCGCATGAGGAGACTGACCTGCAAATTTCCTTTTTTCCCTCGCGCAAGGAAGAAGAAGGTAAGGGTGAATCGTTTTCTTTGGCGGGATCCAGCGGCCCAGCGGTCGGATTCAACGGCTGCTGTGCGACCGGCCCAACAGTTGGGCCGGTGCGCCGGCGCAGATCGGTGCCCTTTTCTAAATGATAGATCTATATAAGGATAACTAGTAATAAAAGGCATGTGAATACTGACACCTAGATCCCACATGTCATTGAGTGGAGAGTAGGCTTAGCTCCTTTTTATGTCTATTCAGTTCAGATCTCAACTTGAGCTGGGCCGAAGCTCGGCCCATGCCACCTATCACTTCTCACATATTCGTTTGTCGAACCTAAGCGAGAGACATATTCCGTCGAGCTCACCTTGAGAAGAATAAACATCATGGCCGAGTCGTTGAAACGTGTGATATATAGGCGAAAAGAAAAAGAATTTCATGCCAAGTGGTTAATTATTGGGATGGAAATCATAATTTAGAGGGGAGGGAGAGACGTGGAGGGATTATACACGAATGGTCTCAGTCCCCCGTTCAGCGTCGAATAGGTATTACACGTGGGAATTTGAGAGAGTCGTTTCTTCCTTAATTTGGTCAGCAGTAATTCGCGAAATGCAAGCCAAAAAATGACGAATGGTCAGAAATTATGATGAAGAGCCAAGATGTTCATGCCAATTAACTTCTTTCTAATCCCCACTCTGCTATGTTAATAAAATGAGTTGTGGTAATAAAAAGAGTACAACCGTCCCAAAAGATCATGTCTTAATTAACTTCCTTTCTTAAAAAAAAAACTGTTGCATAACGCGGCCCTAGCAATGAATGGTGCCGCGTCCCCGGCAGCGGAGCGTGGCGCCACACGGGATCCGGAACCCGTCGCTCCCCGGGGGCTGCAGCCAGGCGGGCACCGATTTCCTGGCAATTGTTTACTCCGGTCTGCCCGGGAATCTCTCCTCCTCTCCTCACGCGAACGGCAGCCAGTGGCCACCCCACCCCCAGCTCACCTCCCCTCCCCTCCCCTCCCGCACGGTCTGCACCTGCACCTCACCGGAGCCTCGCTCCTCCCCAGCTAGCTAGCTGCCGCCAACCCGAGCCCAGCCCCGCATTTCATTAACCCACAGCCCACCATCGTCGTCGCCATCATCACCCCTTTCCTTCCCCGAGCCCCCTCGCACCACGCGGCTGGCTGCGCCTGCGCGGGCGCTCCTCCCTACATTACTGCCGACGTTGACATTGCAGATTGGCATGCCCCCTCCCCCCTCCGCTTCCCCACCGCCACCGTCACCGCTTCCACTTCCCGCGGAGTCCTGACCCGGGGCGTCGCGATGGCGGCGACGGCCGGGGCGGCGGCGGAGATCGTGCGGGAGATCGCGGCCGTGGGCGCCGCCGACCTGGCCGCCGCGCCGGAGCCGCTGCGGGCCGACTGCCTCCGCCTCGCGCGGAAGGTGTCACTGCTCACGCACCTCGTGGCCGAGGTGGCCGAGGCGGCGGGGGAGGACGGCGCGGCGGGGCCCGAGGCGGCGGCGTGGGTGGCCGACCTGCTCCGGGCGCTCCAGGCCGCCAGGAGGTTCGTCGCGCTCGGCCGCGTGCCGGCAGTCGACACGGGGGCCGCGGATCAGGTGACTGGCGGAGATGTCTCGGTCGAATCAAACCTTCTGCATTGCTCGCTTCTTGATGCGCGGCTCTTGGCGAGATTCCGTCGAACACTTGAGCGCGATTGCGCGGCGTCTAGTTCGGGCCTTCTCTATATAGTTCTCTTTTCGGCATGTGGTTCGTTTCCGTTGACGATTAGTATAGCGGGCAAGATTTTAGAAATTCATTCACGAAACTTTTAGTTTCTCTTGCGCATAGATCTTCCTGTCCAGCGGCTCCAGTTGCAGCTGTGATATTTTAAGTGCTACAGCTGTAGATCTTATTAGACTTGGGTGCATCTTGATATGGTCAAATCATGCGTGCCCTCCTATACTTCTACGATGCATCGATGAATATAAACTTGTGTGCACCAAGGAAGAAGAACGAAGGTGTCAAACAAGTAACGTCTTAGCATGCTTAGCAAGGACGACAGGTTTACGGTGTCATGTTGACCTGGTTTCCTACCGTCCCTTTTTTCCGTTATCCACCCGAAATCTCATTGCTATTTTGCAACCTTCAATATCTAATAAAGAATGCATATCAAGTCTACATGAACTCATCGAATGTATAAATTGGGTTAGGTGTTGCCTAAAAGTATTTATTAGGGTTTTCTTATCTAAATTGTTGTTGCTTACTGGAGCCTTTTGATCTCTGGTCTTGTATTTTGTCAAATTAGCTTTTGGTCTCAATACCACACTATGCTACTTGGGATAACATTGACAAATTTGAATGATTGTGTGCATGCGGTGGAGTAGATAAGCCAGTCATTTGACTGCTTGAAACCATCTCTCCTAAAATTGGTCCAAGTAAGATAAGTGTTTAGTAGTTGTCACTGTAAATTTGTAACTTCTAAATTTTCACGAGGTTCTTTGAGCTATTTGTCCCCAAGTTACTCTTTACTTCAGTCTTCAGGACTCAGGCGCACAAATGATCTTTAGCAAAATATATTAGTACTAGATTCTATCTTTAAGAGGAGACACAATAGTATGATACTTTTAGCTTGTGTTCCCTGCAGGATAGTTCTCTCCACATGATGTTTATATTTGTAGGGCCAAACTGATCTTGTTTGAAGTATATAAATAGCACATGTTTCCTTTTATCCGAAATCTCCTAGAAAGCTAGCACATGATTAAACTAACTGACAGGATTGGATGTAGGAAAAAACTCTTTCTTGTGTTAGTTCGTAATGCAAATCTGTCATGCCTAAATAATTAAACTTTCATACAACATGTGCATATGAAATCTAGTTCATTATTCTTTCCAATGCTGTATTCATATCGTATCGACATCCTGTGTTACTGCCATGTCAGTTGCTGCCTTGTGACCATGAGGTCATGGGTTCAAGTCCTGGAAACAGCCTCTTACAGAAATGTGGGGAAAGGCTGCGTACTATAGACCCAAAGTGGTCGGACCCTTCCCTGGACCCTGCGCAAGCGGGAGCTACATGCACCAGGTTGCCCTTTTTTTTTGGTACGTGCATGTCAGTCGGCTCAGTTGAGAACAACCTTTTGAATATGACCACAGATGCACTTGTATCGAATCTGTAGTCTGACCTGCTTCATGCCCTTTTATATAGTCATTTTGCATTCAATAACATGTTAGTATCTTTAATTCTTATGCTTCATTGTTTTCATTGTTAAGGATGTCAACGACAAGAATATTGCTGTTCAGTTCAAGTATGTGACTTGGCAGTTGCAAGCAGCTCTAACAAATCTACCGCATAGTTGTTTTCAAATATCTGATGAAGTTCAAGAAGAGGTATAGTTAACCTGATTGACCGATACATTTCTGAGATTGATCCTTCATTAATTAATCAAACCTGCTTTAATTTGATTAATCTGTAGGTTGATTTAGTGCGGGGTCAGCTTAAAAGAGAAATGGAGAAGAAGGGAGCCCTTGATCTAAATATTTTTTCAAAAATTCATGATATCTTAGCTCATCATGTTGATAATGTTGGATCACAATCTGAAGAACCACACAGCCAGCGAGAGACATTGTCGTTGGAAAACTTGAGCAGTGATCATCTGGAGTTGCAACATGTTGCTTTACTAATTTCAGAAATAAGCGGGATATCTAAATCTGACATTAAAAAAATAACGTCTGAGCTAATTGAAGGGCTTGAAAACGCTACAGTTGCTGATTCTGCAAAACCAACAAATGGTGATAACCAAACAAGTGATGAAGCAAAAGACTCACCTGACAATGTTAAGAAGCCTGACACTGTAGCTATGCCTGAAGATTTCCGTTGCCCAATATCTCTTGAGCTGATGAGAGATCCTGCCATTGTGTCAACAGGGCAGGTAAATTTCCACACCATCACTTATTATTTATTCGCCCTGCCCTTAGGGTGTTGCTGTTTATGATTCAAATATATTTGGCATCTTCTGACAATATTCTTGCTATTGTTGTAGACATATGAGCGTGCTTTCATTCAAAGGTGGATTGATGGTGGAAACCGGACGTGCCCAAAAACTCAACAGAAGCTCCTAAACCTTACATTAACCCCAAACTATGTACTGAGAAGTTTGATATTGCAATGGTGTGAGGAAAAAGGGATCGAACCACCTACAAGATCGAAATATGAAGGTTCTTCCATAGAGGTCGGTGAGGACAGATTGGCAATTGAAGCATTAGTTCGCAATCTTTCTTGCAGCTCATTGGATGAACGGAAATCTGCTGCTGCTGAAATAAGATCCTTGGCCAAAAAAAGTACAGACAACCGCATGCTTCTAGCAGAGTCCGGTGCCATTCCTGCTCTAGTGAAACTTTTGTCCTCAAAAGACCCAAAAACCCAGGAACACGCAGTTACATCTCTTTTGAATCTCTCCATATATGATCAAAACAAGGAACTGATAGTGGTCGGTGGTGCCATTGTCCCAATCATACAAGTGCTTAGGACGGGTAGCATGGAGGCAAGAGAAAATGCAGCTGCAGCTATTTTCAGCCTGTCACTAATCGATGATAACAAGATAATGATAGGAAGCACCCCCGGGGCGATTGAAGCATTGGTTGAGCTGCTGAAGAGTGGTAGTTCAAGAGGTAGAAAAGATGCAGCAACAGCACTGTTCAATCTATGCATATACCAGGCAAACAAGGTCCGCGCGGTCCGGGCAGGAATATTGTCGCCACTGGTTCAGATGCTGCAAGATTCATCTAGCGCCGGAGCCACCGACGAGGCGCTCACAATCCTGTCGGTTCTCGTGAGTCACCACGAGTGCAAAACGGCGATAGCCAAGGCTCACACCATCCCCTTCTTGATCGATTTGTTAAGATCAAGCCAGGCCCGCAACAAGGAGAATGCCGCTGCCATTTTACTTGCACTCTGCAAGAAGGATGCCCAGAATCTCGCTTGCATAGGGAGGCTGGGTGCTCAAATACCATTAACGGAGCTGTCCAAGACCGGCTCGGACAGAGCCAAGCGCAAGGCGACCTCTCTCCTGGAGCATCTCAGTAAGTTGCAGGTGCTCTAGCCTGCTCGCCCGTCGCATACCATTTTTCACGTGTGCGTCTGTTATACATACGGGAAGTTGTAAACTCATCTGTTATTCAGTGTGAAAGTAGTGGGCTGGTGTGGAGGTTTCAGACACCCTCAGATGTGTTCATTGATGGCTACAATAAAAAGGGTCGGTGTTGCTGAATCTGAATGTGTTGTTTCTCATCTCATGTGCATGAAGTTCCATTTATGCCTTTTAGTTTATAGAAGAAAATTGTTGCGGTCTCCATCGAAACATCTATTCACGACCTCTTCGTTTTCCAGCCTACCAGTTTGACATAACTATATGTTTTTTTTCTAGGAGTACTTCTTTTGTGCCGTTAACCCCCATTCCTCTGAAAGACCAGAGATTTTGACAGCACTGAGTGCTGGTATAAATCTTACGTCGCCATCATCTGTTGCAATCCAATTTGTTAGAGGCCCCGAGTATGCTCGTCTGGACATGACAGCAACAAAGGTGATTCCGGTTTGAAAATCCACACGGTAATTGTGACCCTTTTTGCTCCAAGATCCTGGTGATGCAGGTATGGATACTGACGATGACATGCATGGACCCCCTTTTCTTTAACAGTTTGAAACTGTGTAGTCTCTTGTGAACATTTGACTTCTCAGGGGTAAGAACTTTCCATTAACCAACGGGTGCAGCATCTGTTGAGAGAGCCTGTGGCCGTGATAGCATCTCCAACCGATTATGTATAACAGGCCAAGTGTCTAAAAAAACTGTTTTTTTAGATCATTTGTACAAAAACACAGCTTCAGCAGATGCCCTATCTTTTTTTGGTGCTGCAATTTTTTTGGGGTGGCCTCATGTTTTGCCTCCAAGTACTGCAAATATGCAATAGCTGCAAAAAAGAAAAAAAAATCAAAGCCGTGGGCATGC